TCTCTGGAAAAGTACCCTCTGTGTTTACAACTCAGATAGCCAACTGAGCAAAGATGCAGTCCCATATAAAAAAAACAACAGAGTCCTCTAGCGGCTACTAAAATTTTGGCAAAAAATTCTCATTAGCTGTTTTATTTTAGAGGTTTTGTTTCATTTGAAAAAAATGGCAGCAGTGGGTGAGAGACGGGGACTTCTGCTTTCTTGAAAAACATAGACAAAGTGGCAAAGCTACACCATTAAATCTTTACCTAAAATGATTATTTTTTTCCCTTCTTACTTCCATATATTGTTTAGAAATTGCATAGCAATGTTTTTAAAAAAACAATTTAATCTTAGGGTGCACATTGATAGCTTCAATCAGCTGTTTCATGCTATTCTAAGATGCAACAACAGTTACATGAATACACACACTCAACACTCCTTCATACCACTCACTTCACACAATCTCATTTTTGATTTTCAACATGCTATTGGGAAATCTCTTATCCAGCCTGTGTTTCCCTCCAGGGTACTGTTTATAAGCATGTAAATGCTACCAGAATACAAATTTTAAAAAAAGGAAACTGAAAAGGGATTCAAAGAGCTTACTGACATATTTTTCTATGAGATCATGATCCACATACTTGAAATGATCACAACTGTAATCTTACATTGAATTTTAAAACTCAGTTATTATCTATCATACTCAGACTTATTTGGGTATGGAGAATCCTGAACACAGACATAAAGCATTTAGCAAATAAACTAATAACAAAGTCCACATGCATGGTGACTACACAAGCAACCCCTTCAAGGGGTGTATTTCACTAAGCAACAGAATGTAACTTTCAAACCCTAGCATTTTATATATATAAATAAATATATTTTATAATTTTATTTATTTACTTATATATATATATATATATATATATGTACACATGTATACATAAAATAAATCATAATTTATAGTTCTTACACTGTATCTGAATTATTATTTAATTGATTTGAGCCTCCAGCAGTAGGAACAAGTAAGCTGCTCTGCCAAGAGCACACAGGAACAAAGCAGCCCCACTAATCAGAACAGAACTACATGGAAATTAACAGTGGGGACTGATTGTGTGTTCAGTGTTTTTTAACATGAAGATGACATCGGACTCCTAGAGAAAAATCAACTCTCCAATACTGACACAGATATCTCATTTCCTCCAGTCCCAAAGAAAACCTGTTGAGACCCTGCAATTCTCCTCCACACACCTGCATCTCCTCAAGCCACCAGAAATAAATAAATGGATTCAGACACCTCTAAAAATTTGGTACTCTGCATTCTCAGAATGTCTTTCATAAGACTGCACATTGTACCACAAGCTCAAATTGACTTTCCATCCACAGGAAAGCTGCCTATAGCTCCTTAAGCAGGAAAGCCCAAGACAAGATACAGGAACCACACATACCAAGTGACCCAAAAGGACGAAAAAGTTTGGGTTTAATTTTCTTTTTCAAAGCATGTAATCTCCAAGCTTTAAGGAGAAAAATATCATATCCCCTCCCTGCCAAATCCTCCACAACTCCCTTTCACTAACAGCTGTTTTTTAAGGCATACACATCTTGAAGTATCTTGTAATGCAAACAAAGAATCTTTCCTGAGGGAAACCAACTTACCTATTCAATGGATTTATTACTCTGGATATTGAATAGATACAAAAATATCCAAAGCATCAGTCTAATTCCGCACAATATAAAATATACAAACTTTTTTATCTAGAGCGAAATTCCCTTCATTGCAGCTAGTATGAATTAACCTGTTCTCAGATGGTTTTATGTATTTTTTCATAGTAATTTAGAGATATTGCATTTTAAACAGTAGGAAAAAAACACCAAAAAAGCCCACCCACCACCACTACCAGGCTAAGCTTTCCCATTGCTTGTGCAGTAGTGATCACAACCATTTCTAAAAACAACTTCAGCTGAAGCACTCACTGAGGCAATCACAAACCCTTGATAGCCCATTCTCACTTTAAAGCCTACTAAACAGGGCAGAGATAATAACAATTGGTTGCTATGGAAAAAAAATTGAAGAAAAATACCTAAAAAGCTGTAAGCAAGAAAGTTGCTACCACACCATGGCTCAGAAAATGTTACATCTAGTGCGGGATGCTTTGTAAAACCAACTCACTTTTATAGCTTTGATTCTTTCATTAAAAGCCTGACCATACAGTTACCCAAAGTAGCTTCCAAATAAACGATTCCCAGTGCTCCAAAACCTTAAAACCAGGAACCACTGTGTCACAACATAAGTAGATGGGAAAATCTGTTTACTGATCTGCTTGCACTGAAGATGAGAACAACTGAGTGGCCATTCAGCATCAAAAGTGAAATCAAATGATTCACAAGGAAACTTAGCAAAATTGTTAAAGTGTATCACAAGTCTACTAAAAAAATCATAATGCCCTTCTGGTTGTTTGGTTGTTGTTAGTTTTTTTTGTTTGTTTGTTTGTTTTGTTTGGTGAAATTCATTTTTTAAATTGAACTTCAGTCAATCAAACAACAGATAAAACAGGCGCCCAGCCTATCTGCATAGATTTGCTCTTGAACACTATTGCTGCTCATTGTCTTTTCTTTGCCTTGTCTCCTTTCTGGACTCAGAATGGAGTAAGCAAGGCAGAACAGCACAACTTTGGTGGTTTGCTGGATACAGTTTGTTTTCTAAAGTTTCAAGTACATACGAAAATGAAAACATGTACAACAACTTCAAAGGAAGGATTACTCCCAGAACTATCACTAAGTAGCCTATAACCATGCCCTTCCCCAAATGTGCAGCTAGCAGCAGCCCTCTTGAAGAACTCCAAAAGAAAATATTAACGGATTTGAGAAAAAAAAGCACAACAGGGTCAGTCCCGAGCATCTCAAGACTTTTCAACCCAGTAAGAATAAGTGCTCATGAACTGTAATTCTACAATAAGCAGGAATTTCCACTCAGAATGTAACTTGGCATGCACTCATCAGCTCAAATACGTCTTCCACTTCTGTTACCCAAGTATTAGGCTTCAAATTTTGTTGGGAAAGTCATCTGAATGGCTCAAAGTGGTCAAAAGAGTAAAAACTTAGGCTCTCTCTATAGTGTAAGGGACATTACTAGGTATTTGATCATAATCTTGGAACATTCACCTTGTGAAAATGGAGATATACAAGGTATTGGCACGCTATTTGCTAGGCAAGTTCAGCTAAAGTAATTTATCTACAGCTTTTCAAGACAAACACCTGATGTGAGCATATGGTTTATCAGTGATATTGTATTTTCAAGGGGTGCACAGGACCATAACATAGCTATTATAAGACAAAACACAAAATTTTTACTTAAAAGAGTATGAAAACATACACACAGATGCTTTAACTCATTGAGACAAGTGATCTTTCTCAACTTCAAAGTGATTGCTCAAAGCCTTCAAAGACCACATAGGGTAAGCATTGGCAATTACAAAATACAACTCCTACCTACCTTTTTAAAACCACTGTAACTTTAGAAACTCCTTCTCCAGGGTCACAGATATGTCATTCCAACCATCAACTCAGCAACTTTTCCCATGCACCCCAGAACACTGACAGATTACTATTAATTCAAAGACTGCAAGACAATGTAGGCAGGAGAACTCTGCACCCCTCAAGCCTGCCACCACCCATTCACCCAACTTACACTTTGAGCCCCGGCGAGTCCTCCGTGTAGAACCGCCACATCCCACCAGTCCCTGTGGATGTGGCACGGCCTGCACTCCTTGTCCCACAGCTGGCATTTTTCCTTTAATGGGTGGCAGAAGAAAACAAAAACCAAACAACACGTTAGTACTCCACCAGCTTCTACGACCAAGCAGCCCAGGAGACTGCAGAAACAATACACTTCACAGAATCGATCAGGTTGGGAAAAACCTCTAAGACCATCAAGTCCAACCAATGACCCAACACCACCGTGTCAACTAGATCATGGCACTGACTGCCACATCCAATCTTTCCTTAAATACCTACAGGGACACAGTAGGTATTTATATTTTACACCACCTCCCTCGGCAGCCCATTGCAATGTTTAATCGCCTCTTCCTCCTGATGCCCAAGCTAAACATCCCCTGGCGCAGCTTAAGAGTTGTGCTCTCCTATCCTGTCACTAGTTGCCCGAGAGAAGACACAGCCCCTCACCTGGCTACACCCTCCTTTCAGGTGGTTGCAGAGAACCATAAGGTCACCCCTGAGCCTCCTTTTCTCCAGGCTAAACACCCCCACAGCTCCCTCAGCCCCTCCCCATAGCACCGGTGCCGCAGACCCTTCCCCAGCAGCGTTGCCCTTCTTCGGACTGGCATCAGCCTGTGCTGCCCCGTCGGAGAGGGCACCAGCCCGGCGAGCAGAGCGCACCGGGACAGGAGCTGTCCCCGCAGGGGCGGCGGGCACCCACCTTTGCCGGACGGTGGATCCCGCGGCGCGGGGAGCCACAGCCTTGCTGGGGGAGCGGCCGGAGGAGCCGACGCTGGTGGCGCTGGGGTTGGGCCCGGGCTGCGGAGAGAGGAGAGAAGCGGGAGGGGGTGAGAGGCGGCGGGCACTGCCGGCGGGGCAGGGGCGCCCCAGCTGCCCCCCACCTGGGGCAGCCCCTCACCATGGCGGCGGCGCTGCTGGGGCTCGGCGGTCTCACACACGCTCCGCTACAGCCGCTCCGGCCACGTCCCCGTCCGCATCAGGCTCCGCCCCGCGCCGCGCATCCCGGGGCCTCGCGGCTTCCCCGGATAATGCCTGAGCAGCAGCAGCCCATTGTCCCTGTACCCATGGATACAGGGATACGTTCCGAGACCGCTGCCCCCTGTGACGCCTCGGTCGCGCCCGCTCCTTGCGCAGCGGCCGGACCGGCGCGGGACCGTGGAGAACGGCACGTCGGGCAGCAGCGGGGCCGCCCGGCGGGCGGGACGGGCGGGAAGGCCCGGGAGGAAGGGAAGCAAGGCTGACGTGTCCCACCGGGACTGCCGGGCTGCGCATGCGACCGCGGCAGCGGCCATGGAGGAGGCGGAGGAGGCGGGCGGAGCGGGCCCGTCCGTGCTGTTCCTGCACCCGGACCTGGGCCTGGGCGGCGCGGAGCGGCTGGTAGTGGACGCGGCGCTGGCGCTGCGGGCGCGGGGCTGCCGGGTGCAGATCTGGACGGCGCACTACGACCCCGGGCGCTGCTTCGCGGAGACGCGCGGGCTGGCGGTGCGGCGGGCGGGCGGCTGGCTCCCGCGCAGCCTGTGCGGCCGCGGGCACGCCCTGTGCGCCGCCCTGCGCATGGTCTTCGTGGCGCTCTACGTGCTGCTGCTCAGCGGAGAGACCTTCGACGCCTTCGTGTGCGACCAGGTGCGGGCATGGGCATGGACATGGGGACGGGGACGGGAGCGCCGCTGGCCCGACTGGAGGCAGGGATGCTCCAGTCGGGGCTGCTCTTCACAAAATCACCGAACTGTTAGGGTCGGAAGGGGTGTCTAGTGATCATCTACTCCAAACCCCCTGCCAAAGCAGGGTGTCCTACAGCAGGTTTGGAATGTCTCCAGAGAGGAAGGCTCCACGACTTCCTTGGGTGGCCTTTACCAGTGCTCTGCCACTCTCAAAGTAAAGAAGTTCTTCATGTGGAGGTAGAAATTCTTGTGTTTTAGTTTATGGCCACTGGTCCTCATCCTGTCAGTGGGCATCACTGGCAGCATCCTCTTAAAATGAGGTCCACCTTTGAGATATTTATATGAATTAATCGTCTCCTAGGCCTCTCTTCTTTAAACTAAACTAGCCCAGTTCCTGCAGTCTCTCATAAGAGACATGCTGCAGAACCCTGGAGTATCAAATCCCGACAAAATTGAATTCATTATCGGGTGTGCAACAAGCCAATAATGGCACACTTAAGGGAGAGGCATCGATTGTTCATTTCAGAGCTGTGCAAGCCTGGCTGCTCCACAGTGTTCAACAAATTAAGAACACCCCATCAGGCTTTCTGTGCCGTCTTTTATACACAGAAATTCAGAGTTAGTAACATTCAAAGTGCAGCCCCTCATAATACTATGATTGGCTAATCGTTTCCAGAGAAGGGCAGTGGAGGTGGGTTCTGGACCTCAAGTCTTATGACAGGTGGCTGAGGGAGCTGGGATGTTTAGCTGGGAGAAAAGGAGATTCAGGGGGACCTTATCACTCTCTATAACTGCCTGAAAGGATGTTCTGGCCAGGGGGGGATTGGTCTCCCTGACAGCTAGTGGCAAGGTGAAAGAACATAGTCTTAAGCTGCACCAGGGGACACTTAGCTTGGACATTAGGAACAATTTCTTCAGAGAGGGTGATTATGCATTGAAATGGACTGCCCAAGGAGGTGATGGAGTCACTGGCCTTGGATATATTTAAGAAAAGACTGGATGTGGCCCTTTATGCCATGGTCTAGGTGACACAGTGATGTTGGGTCATCGTTGGGACTCAGTGATCTCTTTTCCAACCTGACTGATTCTGTGATTCTATGCAAGTTACATGTCCCCAGTTAACTTCTACATTTGCTTGGAGAAATGGTCTTCACCTGAGCAGAGGTCTTTCTGACCTGTGGATGTGGTTTTTAGTGTTATAATGAATGTAGTTTAGCTATAGGATGCATGGACCTTGAGTATTTTGCGAAGTTAGCAATGTATACATAGACAGAAATCAAGATCTTGATTTACTACATCTTTAAGGCTTGTTACTCCAGGATTTCATTGACTAAGGGATGCTGGCTGCTGACAGTTCCATTGATGAGATCTTCTTTCTTGCTGATTAGGCTTGAAAGTGTACAAAGATCTTACATCAAAGAATGTCCTGACTTTAGATAATCTTGACCTATTCCACATTTTGCAATTAAAGTCTTACATTCTGGGGCAGCTGGAGGGAGAGGATGCCACTGCTGCTTGGACTCTGCTCCCAGCACCCCTGGTAGTGGCAGAAGGAGGTGCTTGGAGAAGTCCTGGGGCTTGATGGGACCTTGGTGGGGAGCTGGGAGAAATTATAGGGCCACAGGAGGTCCTGGATGAGGGAGTACAACTTGATGTGCTTGTGTGGGGAAGAGGGAGAAGGCACTTGGCTTGCAAAGCAGCGGCTCTCAGCATGGCTTTGAAATCACATGTGCACACTGGTGGCACTGACACAAACAATTAACCTCTCCTCTTGTCCCATCTCTCTGGTTGCACTAGGTGTCTGCCTGCATTCCTGTGCTTAGACTGGCCAGAACCCGTAAGAAGGTTTTGTTTTACTGCCACTTTCCCGATCAGCTCCTGACCAAGAGGGAATCGTTCCTGAAGCGCCTCTACCGACTGCCGCTCGACTGGCTGGAGGAGTACACCACTGGCATGGCAGACTGCATCGTTGTGAACAGCAAGTTCACTGCTAGGGTGTTCAAAGACACATTTAAGTCCTTGTCACACATAAAACCAGATGTCCTCTACCCATCGCTCAACATCAGGAGCTTTGAAGAAATTGTTCCTGCAGACATAGCTGATCTGATACCGAAAAAGAAGAAGTTCTTGTTTCTTTCCATTAATAGGTATGAGAGAAAAAAGAATCTGGCTTTGGCTCTCGAAGCTTTGCACGAACTTCGAGGGAGACTTGATTCCCATGAGTGGGATGAAGTTCACCTGGTTATGGCAGGTGGTTATGATAAGCGAGTTCTGGAAAACGTGGAGCACTATGAAGAGCTGAGGAGACTCGCGGCCAAACTTGATGTTAATGACCATGTGACTTTTCTGAGATCATTCTCTGATGAACAGAAAATCTCTCTTTTTAGTAACTCTGTGTGTGTGCTTTATACACCAAGCAATGAACATTTTGGCATTGTCCCTTTGGAGGCAATGTATATGAGATGTCCAGTTATAGCAGTTAATTCAGGTGGTCCTTTAGAATCAATCACACATAATGTTACGGGATTTTTGTGTGATCCTCTGCCAATGCAATTCGCTGATGCCATGGAAAAAATTGTGAGAGATCCCCTCTTAAAGGACATAATGGGAGCAGCTGGGAGAGTGAGAGTTATGGAAAAATTTTCTTCAGAAGCTTTCTCAGAACAGCTGTACCAATACATACGCAGACTAACAGAATAAAATTCCATTCCTGTTTAATAGTTTACAACGTTTGTGTCTCTCATTTGTGTAGGAGACCAGTATTCATTGTGACTAGTGAAGAATTAGGGATATCTAAATGTCCTTGTTTTGCTTCCTGTGCTGCCTTATGTCACTTGACACATAGAAGGAGCAAAACATGTCCCACTGTGTCATTAGAAGGTTAAAATTTTCATGTGGTAGACTGATCTGCCATTGCAGGAGTGAGTTTGTGTACTGTGCCTTGGCAAAATGCAAAGTTGAATGGCAGTAAGTTACTGCAGGAAAATGACTGCATTTTTATTTAATACTATATGGAATGGCTGATTCAACTTACAAAATTTGGATTTGTCCAGATAAGACACACACAGCCTTATTTTTATGTATTTAAAATGGTCATCAGTAATTTGTAAGTAAAAAAGGGCTGTCTTAGCTGAAGTATGGAGAGAAGTGCACAGTCCAACTAACTGCATGTTTCAAAACCCCAGCAGTGTTAGGAGTATGAATGGTATGGTTTTTAAATGACTGAGCATAACTGTGCTTGTCCAGTTGCATTGTGTAGTCACACTGGGTGTCAGAAAAAAAGCATACAGGTGTGTGAGCAGGAGAAAGTGAGGCTAGAATAACACCAAGGATATCAGACTACCTCAGGCAAAAAGGTTAGTGCTGAAAGCTATGTTTGTTTGTTACCTGCAGTGCTTGAGGAGGTAATTTTACTGTGGGAATTTCTGTAGGTTTGTAGGGTTTGTAGATAACTAAATGATTTTCTTTATATTTAACATTTCATTCTGAATGATAGCACACTTTTAAAAAAGGTCTTAATCTGGACCAGGCAATAAAGACATTTTATTTTGCCTAATTTAGTGGCAACTTTATGTTTTCCTAATGCAGTGAGTGCACGCAGGACAGTACTGTGATTTTTTTTCCCAAGCCGCTGTGGGGAAAGAAATATATTTTTTGTTCATCTACCTCTCTTTTAGCGCATCCTTATTAGTTGATGGTTCTATTTGTTATAACACATATAATAATCCATACAATTGACCTTTAAGTGTGAAAGTAGATCCAGTGAAATCCAGTGTTACCTATAAAATACAATTTGCAGCGTGGTGTGAAATGTAATTTGTGGTCTGAATTCTGCAATTTCTACTTAATGTAGTTTCAGGCATTTCTACATTAGTACTTCACAACAGAGAGACCATTCTTTTTGTTGCTTAGGACCAAAACCCACATCTCAGTATACTTATAAGGCTTTTATTTGAAGTAAAGCAAGCAAAAATCAAAGTCTGTCGTTGTCTTTAATCAAGAAGTTGGAATACTCTAAATTTTGTTTGTTATGGAGTGAGAGCGGATGGTCTCACAGGCCCTGTTTCCTGCATATCTATTCAGTCAGAATTTAGGCAAGCCTAAGTCTATATTCTTGCAAGCCTGTTCCTTCATTTCTACTCCATTCCCACCTTTAAAAGCTTTCCTAAATCTTTGTGCAAGTTTTTCATCATGGGTGTGGCAATGGGTGACTGAAGGACCAGAAGAGACAGTGAAGACTATCTGTAGTCAGATAAACATGACCCTTGGGACATGTTTGCCCTCAATTTTAAGTTCCATTTAAAAGGTACAAGGTGGCTGGGGCCAATTCCTGTGCTTGCTTAGTCTGTGTTACATTCTCCTCTCTCAGTTGTGCTGGGGTTAACCTGTAGCCTTAAGAGACACACTGGTGCACGCTTGCCAGCATAGCTGCAGGGGTAGCTCTGTTTCTGCTCCAGCCTTGGCCTCCAGCCCTTTCCTGAGCTGTGTTGCTGGCAGGCATGTGCCTAGTCCTATATTCTGCAGCTTCTGTTCACTGAATTTCATGGATTCCACTTGGACCTGACCTGCCATCTCATATTTTCCTGGTGATTGCTGTGACTGTCAGCAGCTGCTACTGTCACCAGGCTGCCCCCCTTGGGTACTGTGCCCTGGTTGGTGAGGTCACTGTCCCGTGGTGTGATCTCCCCTGACTTTTCACTGCCATCCCTTGCAGAGCAGCCCCAGTCCTGCTGCTTCATGGCAGGTAGGTTGGACCACTTCAGTCCTGAGGCTGCCTGCATGGAGCCTGGCCTTCAGACTCCTCATTAGCTGCTGATCAGGCTCAGACTCCTGCAGGAATCTGTGGTCAATGTGTAGGAGTGTGGCAGAGCACTGCAGGCTGCTTCAAGATCTCTTGCTTTCCATGTTGAGAAACCTGAGATAAGAGATATCCCTGTCCATTGAAGGAGGGTTGGATGACATGGTCTTTAAAAGTCCCTTCCAACCTAAACCTTTCAGTGGTTTTATGGTCTTCCAGAACCATTCAGTGGGGACTGTACAACCATATTAGGATTTATTAGATATGGCTAATCTTTACAGCTATCCAGGTACCATATATCCCAAAGGACATCAGGTGATCAGCAGTAGTAATATCCCAGAGCAATGTGGATTGTGACTGTGTGGAAGACAGTGGCCATGGGGTCCAAAATCAGGTTTAGTTCATTAAGTTCACTAAGTTCATTTAAACAGTTTTTGGAGGGAGCGCAATTGCAGTGGCCAAGCACTGGAGCACTGGAGCTCCAACAGGGGAAGTAATAATAAACAACAAATACACAAATCAGTTGACTCTGGAAACTGGGTGTGAAAAGCAAGCCCCTTTAAAGGCTATGTCTGTTTCTGACCCACAAAATGAGATGGTTAGGGCTGGCCTACCCCAGAGCTTGGGCCAGTCTACCAGTTGTGTTCTGGGGGTAGGCCAGAATAGAAGCACCACTCTTGGTTCTTGTGTTGCCTCAAGAGTGCGCTACCGCTCCTCAGAGGCAGCCGGGATTGCCAGGTCCTGTTTGTCTCAGATGTGAAATTCCTATTTGTGTGAGTGATCTGTCTAAAGAAAAAGACATGGGGCATGAGTTTGATTGTGGAACAGTACAGCCCCTATGGCCCAGACATCTGCTTCCATAGCAAAATGCCAGCCAAGACTTCAGCAGGACAGTAAGGCAGGATGTGGTGACTGACTCCATTCCTCAGGAGCTTTGTGTGCTTCTCATGCCCATGGGAAGTAAGATCCCTTCCAAGCAGGTACCAGTAGAAGAGCCATGACACTGGAAAAGTCTGTTTTGATTCATCAGAAGAAGCAGGCAAACTGTACGAAGCGCTGCACTTCCTGCATGCTAGGGAATGAACGGCATAAGGGAATGAGCAGAAAAGTTCTTTCTGAACCAGATACAGACACTATGAGCATCTTGTGGTACTGTTTGGTCTCTCCTTTACTCTGACCACCTTCCATGGTTCTGCACATCATGTGCTGCATAGTCTGCTTGATAACTGTGTAGTGGTATTCTCAGCATCTTCAAGTTTTCCAACACTCAACAGGCTATGCCAGGGGTGTCCTAAGTCACTTCCAGCAGCGGTGACGCCATGTCAAACCCCAGGAATCAGTTCTTTTCAACAGCACAGGGTGGAGATCCTGGCATACCTGCTGGACCCTGACTACTGGCATGTTGATCCCAGATAGGTTGAAGCCACCTTAAAATGGCAGGCTCCTCTGAAGGGTCAGAAAGACCCATACCATTTTTTGACCAAAAATGTGGAATACTGGCAGTGGAGGTAGAGTGTCAGATCAAGAAATTAAATCTGTGATTGTTGCTAAATGTTTTCAGATTCTGCTGTGACTTCTGTTTTTACACTCTCATGAGCCCTGAGGCTGGCTCAGTTGATTAAAGCAGGGTGCTAATAACACCAAACGCCAAGGTGGTGGGTTTGATCCCTGCATGGGCCATTCACTTAGGAGTCAGACTCAGTGATATGTGTGGATCCCTTCAGACTCAGACTATTTGGTGATCCTCGGAGGGTATTTTCTCTTGAGCATCTGTTCATTTAATCTCATAGGGTCATGGAATCATGGAGTGGTTAGGGTTGGAAGAGATATTAAATATCATCTTGCTCCAACTACTCTGCCATGGGCAGAGTCACCCACCACCAAACCAAAGCTGGTTGTTTGAAGCTCCATCCAACCTGGTCTTTCCCTACTGTTGTTTTAAAGACCCATACATGAAAACAAAGTTTTAGGTTTACAAAAGAAAGAGACTTATGACTTCAGAAGTGCAGGTACTCAGTTCCTTAATTTATCACAGCATAGCTTTGTTTCCTTGCTACTTCCTCTCCTCCTTTTTGGAAATCCAACAAGGATCTTGATTATGGATATAGAATCCAGGATGTTTTTTGTCAGTGACAAACTTCCTGTCAATTAAATGGAAGCAGCTCCATCCTGAGAGGACAGTAAGTACTCCCATATTTTACAAGTCAATGTGTTCTAGGGTATATCAAGTACATTTTGTTGTGCTGTCTGTAGACCAACATAATATGAGAAAACAAGGCTGACCAGTGTTGAGTTTCCAAAAAGACAGGTTTTTAAACAGTAATTTTTTGTTATATATTCAATACCTGTTTTGAATCTGTTTCAGAAATCCATACTTTTTCCGCTCTTCTTCATTATTTAAATAAATAAATTATTTATGAGAGTTTTCTTTAAATCAAATTACCTTATGCCTTATACCAAATATACCTTATGCAATCTGCTGTCACAACAAATATTAAATATTGGTCTAGTATTATTAAACAAGTTATCATTAGTCTACAAGAAAATGAAAGTTTTAAATTCATATCCCAGCAGTGTGGTGTGAAGGATGATGCAACAAAAAGAAAATGGCAGGAAGGAGGATCTCCTCTCCTCTCCTCTCCTCTCCTCTCCTCTCCTCTCCTCTCCTCTCCTCTCCTCTCCCTCTCCCTCTCCCTCTCCCTCTCCCTCTCCCTCTCCCTCTCCCCAAATTTGCATATCCTGATACCTTCTCTTACACCCCAAATAAATAAAAAGAAGCCAAATAAAGTTGTTTAAAGCATAATTGGAAAAATAAGGGCAGAGTATGTGCAGCATATAAGGTGTAAGCAAAGAGAGGCAAGGAGAGAGGTGATCAGGCTTTAGAGTTTCTTCACTTACCTTCTTAATGCTGTGGGTTGGAATGTGCAGACAGAGTTGTCCTTCTTCAATAACCTTTAATCTAGTCAATCAGGCCACAAAAATAATTTATTATGCATATTTTTATGCATTCTTTTTCAGACTCTAAAAAGAAATCTGAAAATTTTGTGATTAAGCCAACCTGACACTGCTGCTTTTTTTACTTCCCCCTCCCCCATCATTGCTATTTTTTACAATTTTACACAATATAAAAAATTTATAGATTTGAACATTTGCATGGAGTCTATAAAAACCTCATGCTGCATTATCATATTGGTAAACTTTATTATTTTTTATTATGGCTTTATTCTCTCTCATGGATGAAATGGCTGATATTTTATTTTGAATTGTAATTTATTATACAGTTAGTATCACAGGGGTATTTTTAATAAAACAATAACTGCAGAATACTGAAAAAATATAGTATTAAGGAAGGGGTATATTCAATAACATGAATGTTAACACAAACAGTAGAGAAGGAAAGGCATTTTAATTATAGTTATCCTTATCTGCTTTTATGGTGAAAGTAGAATGTGTGACCCAAAAAGAAATAAATTAGGGGCTGGTCTCTATTGATTTATGGGTGTGCAGTTCTTTAGTGCCCATTATTCTATGCCCAAGATTAACTGAGTTAGGCCCACATTTTTGTACTGTTAGTCATACGAGGAAACAACAAGTTTCACCTCATGAACTCTGAGACAGATCTATTAACAGTATAGTACCTTTATGACTCAAATTTTTCTGCACTGAAAGAGAGAAAAAGTGTAATGACTGACAAAATGAAAGTAGAAATCAGTGTAATGACTGACGAAATGAAAGTAGAAATCATTTGGAGTGGTTTTACATGGAGAAGGGGAGCAAAAGTTGCTCAGTTTAAAAACCTATATGTAATATAATCAGTTTAGAGAAATTGTTCTTCAAACAACCTACTTTACAGGCACACATGCATATTTTGACTTAATGAACTTTCCCCCTCACAATTATGCACAGAACTCCTGTGCTTTATAGCCAGCTTTGTGAAAGAAAAAAATCTTGTCTGATTTACTCTTTTAAAACCTGGCCTAGGATAAGCCCTGTAAACAAACCCACAGCTGAACAAGGTGCTGTGCGCAGTACAAACCTCGTAAAGATTGATTGCAGGAGGAGATCCTGACCACCCCCTCCTGTAGGAACACAGGACAAGAGGACAGAGAACTGTGGAAGCATGAAACA